TGTACCTGGCAGTGCACATTTTGATTAACTGGCATATTTGACTAACTGGCATCCTCCATTCCTGGGGGATGCCAGATAACACAGCTTTTGCTGTACTCCCTTTTGTAAGAAGCCGAAGTGGTACCTCCAACAGCATCAGGCTTTACTGGCTTCATTGCTGCTGTCTCCCTGGGGTTGTAACAAGCTCTGATCCCATAATCCCATGGGCCAAATGCTGGAATAATGACGCAGGTTCCTGGCACAGCCCTACAGGTGGGCTGCTATAGCAACCCCAAGGTATGACTGTGTTTAATTGGCTGCAGTCCCAGTTATATCCGCTCTTCTTGCAGGGGTAATAATCTGCCTAGAGCCCTGAGCTTTAGACTCTGTTTCATAAGTGGGGGTGTTTGCCTACAAACAAAGCAGGGGGCTGCAGGCTGCTCTGGGAGCCAGGAGACCTGATTGCTCTGCTCAGCTGTGTCACTTTTGCTTTGTGACTGCAGTGATACTGAGCCAGCCTTTAAAAAGCACCTTTTAATGACAGAGGCAGAGAGTGGTTCCCAGGATAGCAGCTCCCTTTGCTGGGCATGGGGCATCTGAAAGGCAGAGCAGCTTCTAGAACTCGGTCCCAGTTAAAGGCAGCTCACATCATGACCCTGTTGCATGCGTTAACGATGCAGCTGGAGGTGACAGCCCTGGAGCCCGAGCTGTCCCTGACCTGCTCGCCCGAGTTCCAAGAACAGAGAGGTCAAAAGGCTTGGCAGCTCGAGGCTTTGGGAAGAGGAGAGAGGGCAGAAGATAAATGAGCCCTAGGCTTCCAGCTGGGACCTAATAAGGTTTTCCATAGACCATAGCGGGCACTGGGTTGGAAGCCTGACGCTGCACTAAGTGTCACTGAGTTCGTTGTGCTTTTGTCTCTAAAACAGGTACAAAACCTTCCTTGCTGAACATGAACACTCTGCACTGCACAGCCTCCTAAAGAAGACCAAGCTGCCCTTTTTAAAGCCTTTCCCAGGGCTTCTCTGCCCTGCAGGGGCAAGAGCACAGGACTGCTGTCACCTTAACCAGAGGGAGAGATGCACCTTTGTGCACTTCTCCCATCCCATGCAACCGCTCACCCGGACATCTCCCAGCAAGTCGAGACCGAATAGGAACATCCTCCCTGAAGGAGCAGTAGAGCGTAGGAATAGGCAGCCAGCAGCACTGAAGCATTCTGCCAGTGCAATGGCACAGACCCTGCGAGTACATGGGGCTACTTGCCTGCCAGTGCCTGGAGGGGACCTCCCTGTACTGCCGCAGATTCAAAAATCAAGGACAGAGATCCATGTCTATATACCCAGTGGGGAAGATGGCATGGATTGCGAGTCACTAGAGGAAGGGTTTTTGGAAGATGTGGACAATAAGCTGAGTTCATTGAACCTGCAAGATGAGAAGTGAATTTGATCCTGGAGAAATTATTAGAGTCTGGCCTTAAATGGTGACGCAGTTACCATCTCAAATGTCATCTGCCACATGGCAGTGCGCCCTAGCATTCTGCAAGAAACTTAATGATGGCAAATTTAAGGAGGAAAACCCAATGTTTTGTCCAGAGTTTCCTTTGTGGTGGGAGGTGTTACCTGAGGGGGGTGCTTCATGATTCATGAGTTATATTTCTGGCCCCATTGCCGTGTGTTTTCGGGCAAGTCGCTTAATCCATCTGTAAGATGGGGTGAAGGAAGAACACTGGCTGACAGATCTGAGTCCCTGGTAGCTGAGAATGGAAGTTGACAGAGAATCCTCTGGAGAGAACATCTCAATATTCTTCAGTAACAGTACAAGGCTACGTGGCAGTGTTACTCTAGCAGTGTCCAGTGATGGGCAGGGTCCTGTCTACTGGAGCATTGAAAGATGCTGGGGAATTGTCTGACTGCATTACATCTAAGTTTTATTATGTCCAGCTACGTTACAGGGGCTAGCATGAGATGCTGCAGAGGAAGGGGGAAGAAACCCCTATCGTAGGCAGGTGTGGAACAATCTGCTCCCAAATTACTTCTTATTTAACTTTGTTGCAGACTGGTATAAGCTCATCTGGAAAGCAGGCTGTGTGTATGCTAAGGAGGGGTTCAGAGCATGTTGAAATCTTGCTGGAATTTAGATCTTTGAGTAAACTGTAATTTGGGACTTTATCGTGGTAATTTAATCTCCATTTTAAATGCATCAGGGCAAATGAACCCCTTGTGTGAACTTGCTGAGCTCAGCGATGTTACAGAAGCAAAGCACTTGTCCCTTGCAGCATAGAAACGAATCCTTTTCCCCAAAAAACATAACATTTCAATCAGTTGCAGCATAAAAAAAAAGAAAAAATAAGACGGAATTGCAGTCGGGCCTCCGTTCTGTGTATCAGTAGGTCAGGCTAGACCAACCACTACATATGCTCAGGATCTCACGGGACCTTGTGAAATCTAGCACCATAATGCCTCTCTTTGGTCTCAGATGGAGAAAGGAGACCCTCTTCCCCTTTCAAAGAGAATTTGGATCGGAGGTTGCTGGGAGCTTCCAGATCACTCAAACCTTGGGGTGAAACATCTGTCTTTTCTAAAAACATGCTGGGTTTTTCTGTTTTGTTTTGTTTTGGTTTTTTTGAGCTGAAAAAGAATGGTTTCTTCAAGCAGGTTTCTTCCTGCCCTCTCCTGCCTTAACAATAGTCCTGGTAGAATTTATTAATCTTTCATGTAGGAGCCAGCAATGTGGTAAGGGGAGACAAGCCTGTGTTGGAAGGAAAAAAGGAATTGGGTTTCTAGAGTTCAGGAATCTATTATTCAGACAGGATTTTTTAAAATAAGTCTTTCATATAAAAAAAATGCTTGAGTCTGCCTTGGCTCAACTGCTGTTTTATTATTTATTAGTTTGCTGAGTGGTGATGAGTTCTGAAATTGGTGTATTGGTGCATTGTCTGACCAAGGGCTGGGGGAAAGAAAATATGTATTTGGGTTGCATTTACTCTATTCTGTTCTATGCACCAAAGTGCTGGACTGTTTAAGAGAAGGGATTGATAAAATGAAACAAAAGCAAACATCTGGCTTTGGGAACTGAAATTTATATAAAAAAATATATAATTTAATATGAACTTTGTGGGAAGATCTGGGCTCAGATCCTGCAGACTCCAAAAACGTCAGTGGGAAGATTTGCACGAGTTTAGTGCACAAATCTTAACAATTATTTTTGAAAAGTCTGACACTGCATTAACTGTTCCTGATTGTACTCTTGTAGGTACAAGACCTTCCTTGCACAAGGTGAGCACTGTACAGTGCAGAACCTCCTAAAGGAGACCAAGCTGCCTTTCCCAGGGCTCCTTCAAGCTGCCTTTCCCTGCATATATATGACTTCTCCCAGAGCTACTATTAAGGGAAGATAGGGCAGGAGAATGTAAGAAGATACCTGCTTGAAGAAACCATTGTTCTTCAGCTCAAATAAAAAAAAAGAAAAAAAGAAAAGAAGAATCAGCCTTAGAAAAGGCAGATATTTTATCCCAAGCTTCTCATGCTTTCCATGTCATATGGAAATAGTTAATTATTTAATTTAATGTTTAGTGTTCAGGTGCTACCTTATATAAAATGGGGCAACACACACCATATAAATTTTCCTTTCATTTGGAACAATGGAGAATGGCACGTGAAGGCTATACGTAGACCTGCCAGGAGTACAAACTCATATCCCCCTAGTGCAAATTCAAACTATTTACCCTCTCTAGCAAACAGCACCAGCTCAGATCCTGCACTAACAAATCCATATACTGGCTTATATTTTCACTCTTTCACCCATCTTCAGCGGCCATGCTGTGAAACTGCCTGGTTTTCAGAACCTGCTTTTCAGAAAGATCCCAGTTCTTCCAGCTGCTGCAATTTGGCTTTGATAACATAAACTGCTGCAGTGATGCCTTGCATTTGCCCAACCTGAGAAGGTCGGTGTTGTCACGTTCATCCCACTGGGTCTTTTCTGAGCTGCCCAAAGATAATCCTTTTAAATGTCAAGTTTGTTCACAATTAATGTGCTTTGGTAAGCAACGAAGAGAGGAGGGTGGATTGGATCAGGAAGATTCTAAGATGGGATGACGGGAGCCTGGGCTACCTGCTCCTCTATTCCTTTTCTGATCTCTCTGTCTCTCTGAGCAGCCAGGCTCCTGCCTTCTCTTCTTGTGGGCTGGAATACCACAATACGCTGATTCTGGGACTAGACCCTATAGTCCTATCTTCTCTCAAGTTTTGACCTCTTTAGGTAGACAGGACAAGCTTCTTCCACTGGCCCTGCAGGACCTACGTCCCCAAATGAAATCCCCCTTCTCTCTAGGTATGTTTTGTTTGTTTTTTAAACCAGCCTGAATTCTTCTAAACCTTTACTTGCGGGACTTCTCCTCTCCTGGTACAGTCTCCTCGCAGTCCTTGAGTATTTGCTGGGACATGGGGGAAGCTGATGCTACTGTTTTTATTAATGCTTAATGTTGGCAATCTGGGCCTCGTGACATGATTTTTATTTTTCCTATCTGTGGAGCAAGAAGGAGCCCGTGAACCAGTCTCATTGCCCTCCACTACACTCTCCAATTTGTCCACATCCTTTCTACAGTGGGGGCCCAAAACTGGTCACAGGACTCCAGATGTGGCCTCCCCGGTGCACAATAATCCCTTCCTTTGACCAGCTGACAACCCTCCTCCTAATGCAGCCCGGGGCATGCTGCTGCCTTGCATTCAGTTTATTATCCACTGTAGCCCCCAGGCCCTTTTCTGCAGAGCTGGTCCCAGTCTGTCCCGGTGCAGAGGCTTGTCCTGTCCGTGCCCTTCATTGAACCTCGTGCCATTTATTTTGGCCCGATCCTCCAGCTGGGCCGTGCCTCAGCTTCCCTCCCTCTATAACGGGCACAAGGGCCGTGTGGGCAGGGGAGGGCAGGGAGCGGAGCTCGGGCCTGGCAGGGGAAGCGGCGGGGCGGGCTCTTGGGCGGGGCGGGCCGCCT